TCCCTTTCCTGGCGATCTTCTTGCTATGGACTGGCTTCAGCTTCTGGTTTCACGACACCAAAACCAAAGTCGGAATGGTCACGACGGGAATGTACCTGTTTGAGGTGAGCCAAGTGCAGAGCAGCTTTCTGAGTCAAAAAAGTCTCTGACCACCATTTCCTAGATCTTCTACTCGCCCGGCGAAGGCCCTGTGCCATTTACCTATTCAGCAGAAGCCTTCCCTGTGCACGTTCGAGATGTTGGCATGAGTTTTGCGACAGCTACGACATGGTGCTTCAACTTCATTCTCAGTTTCACCTGGCCTCATATCTTGACGGCTTTCAAACCTCAGGGAGCATTCGGGTGGTACGGGGCATGGTGTATCATCTTGTGGTTTTTGATTCTCCTGTTTGTTCCCGAAACCAAGGTACGCTTGGCCGAATATATCTGGGTTTGAGACATGATTCTGACGCGGTCTTTATAGGCTCTGACCCTTGAAGAATTGGATCAAGTGTTCAGCGTCAGCACTCGTAAGCACATGAGCTACCAGATGAAGAACGCTGTCTGGCATTTCCGTGTGTGGGTGTTGAGGCAGAAACTCGAGCCGTTTCCTCCATTCTATCACCGAGCAGAGAAGCTGAACGAGGCGTGAGTAATGAAGTCATTGCTTTGTTAAGCGTGACCAGGTTTTGGCTGAGTAAGTGTTACTGTATCTGGCGAGGCTGGGTTCTGTTTTGGGAGGGTTGATTTCTGTCGCTCTTATACTATTAGCCGGAGCGAGAGGACGCTGAGCAAGTAGAAAATGGGTTGGGGGATACCATGGGGTCCAGGACCTTGCTGTCGACTAATTCCGAGATTGCCCGACGGCCGTTGCTCGGGCTGATGAATACCGAGCTCAGCCTGCAAGGTTGACGATTGCAGCAACCTTTCTCGAGCAAAACACGCATAATTGGATGCGGGGAGACATGTGGTTCTCCGTGGTTATCATGGCAAAATATTGCTCTACCGCAAGTACGCACAATGCCTATTCGCGCACGAATGCTCTCAGCCTCGCCCCCATGTGATATCACGTGAGAAGGGGGCCCACCGGGAGAAGTCGGGACGTTCATTCCTCGGCTGCCGTCAGGGTCAATGCGCAGCGCAGTTTGGTTTGCCCCTCCATCCCTCCATCCACTCGCCTACAGCACCTCCTCCCTTCGCTTTCCATGTTTCCCATTTGTAGAGGCGAATTGACTCGGATCGACTGTCTGATGCGGAGAAGCATCCACTGCCCGCCGCCATCATCTCCCGGACACTGACCAAACAATGATGTTGACATTGCCTTGCCATACTGCCACCCGATATGGGGCTGTCGGAATTGACAGCAGCTCGCTCTCCTTAAAACCACTGACTTTTCCTGAGATATCTGGCTCCTGTTCTCTCTTCTTGGTATCTGTTTCCACTTGATTCATTTAATTGCTTCCCCGAGCTTCTGCATCCCCAGTTCCCGTTGTCTCCTTCTCCTCTGACGTCTGTCTTCCATTCTACCGAGGATCATATACCTATCGCGTGCCCTACGTCGCCCGCTTAGGCCTCCCTGTCCTGGACGGTCCCTCTTCCATACTGAGTCACAGCAAGAGCACAAGCTTCATAATGGCAACCAATGGAGATACCAATGGCCACAATACCGGCACCGGCGAGGAGAAAATCAACACAGACATCATCACCCTCACTAGATTCCTGACGGAAGAACAGACCAAGCACAAGGAAGCAACGGGTGACTTTACGTCAGTCGACCAACCCATTTCTCTCACAGAAAGCACTTCAAGGCTAACGGTGTTTGTGTTTGCAGACTGCTCTGCCATGCCCTTCAATTCTCCTTCAAATCCATCGCCTACTATATCCGTCGTGCCACCTTGATCAATCTGACCGGTCTCGCTGGTTCTTCCAACACTACAGGCGACGATCAGAAAAAGCTCGACGTGATTGGCAATGACCTGTTCGTGGCGGCCATGCGGGGATCTGGCAAATGCAGAGCCCTAGTATCAGAAGAGGAAGAGGAGGTGATATACTTTGACGACAGCCATGATGCCAGATACGTCGTGGCCTGCGATCCCATTGACGGATCGAGCAATTTGGATGCTGGTGTCAGTGTAGGAACCATCTTTGGAATTATGAAATTGCCGGACAGTGTCGTTGGCAAGAAACCCTCCCCAGAGGATCTCCTTATGCCAGGCACGGAACTACTTGCTGCTGGGTAAGTCGAAAATTGAAATGTGAGACCTTTAGAGAATGGAACAACCCTAATAGGGCCAGCTTCACCATGTATGGCGCCTCCGCTCAACTCGTCATCACCATGAAAGGTGGCTCTGTTAACGGATTCACATTGGTAAGGAGATCGTTCAACGTTCCTTCTATGCCAGCAAGCCATTCCCGTGCTAACAAAACAACGTAGGACAACGCCCTAGGCGAATTCATCCTCACACATCCTAACATGCGCATCCCCAAGAAGCGTGCCATTTACTCTGTGAACGAGGGCAACTCCCTATACTGGACCGACAAAACAAAGGCGTACTTCGAGTCGCTCAAATACCCCACCGAAAAGGGCGGCAAGCCATACAGCGCCCGCTACATTGGATCTATGGTTGCCGACGCATACCGCACTTTACTATACGGAGGTATTTTCGCATACCCGGCGGATAAGAAATCCCCTAAGGGAAAACTGAGGATTCTATACGAGTGTGCCCCTATGGCATTAGTTATGGAGAACGCGGGTGGAATGGCAGTGAACAGCAACATGGAGAGGATGCTGGAGGTGAAGCCAGAAGGTATCCATGACCGAAGTGGGATCTTCATGGGCAGCAAGGAAGAGATGGAGAAAGTCATTGCGGCGCACAAGTAAAGTGTGGCAGCCAGTGGCGGAGCAGGTGAACAGATGGGTGGGACCTAGTAATGCCCTAAGGGAAGACGATGGCATAGGACCAACGACGACACAACAGGAGTTGCTGAATGGAAATGAACTGGCAATCAAGGAATGGCTTTGATCTTATGATTTATGTACCTAGCCGCCATCTAGCACAGCATTCACGAGAATCAGAAACCCGGCACCCAGGTGCATCGCGAGTTTAATCTGTTTCCATTAGTTTCCTGCACTGCTCGACCTAGGAACACTTTCGCTGGGCACAAAAGAGGTGGCACAAAAGAGGTTCAGTACCTCATACACCTGGTGATTCCTCGTACTAGGAAGCAGTTCCCAAACCGTTCTGTTTCATGTACTAAAGTAGAGTGCGCACAAACATACGAGGTAGTTCTACTATTCCAATCCTACAATCCAGCCTCGGACTCTTTGACCTCCTCTGGGTTGTCCTTCATCCATCCTCATGACAATTACGGACTAAGGTCTCTTTCAGCTCCTGGATTGCCGTTACAATTTCGTCTTCAACCCCGTCGACGGGCTCGCCGCTGTTCTTGCTCTTGTCCCCGCTAGATCTACTGCCCGCCGTCGCAAACCGTCCGTACCGGAGGTCACTGAGATTCCCGACGTTGTCTCCACACTGGCTCCGCAGCGTGGCGATCTGGGCCTCCAGATCTGCGATTTCGGACGCCAGATCTTGACTGGCGGTAGTCATTGCGGCGAGGAGTGTGGTCGTTGTGTGATTGTGCTTTGCGGTTGCCATGGGGAGAGTATGACCCAGGGGCTGTCCATCGTGGAGCGCCGTGTCGAACTGGGTTTCTTTTTCCTCGGCGTCAATATCGTCGTCATCTGTCGCCGCTCCGTGTTCTGCGTCCTCATTGTTGTTGTTGTCGTTACTGCCAATGCTGCCGTGCTTCCTTTTCTTCTTCCTGCTGGTGACCCTCAACAATCCTTCCTCCCTCCGAACTTGCCGCCCCAGTCTAGCTTTGAGTTCGACACTGCGACGACACTCGTCCTCAATCCGTCTCCGCACGTCGTCAATGAGGATATCCCTCTGGAACTGCAGATCTCGATACAGACGCTTCAGCTCTGTTGGATGCTGCCGTCCAAACGAGGACAGGCTGGGAGGTAAAAGTGCCAGGAACGATTTGTATGGCAGAATTGCTGGGAGAGGTGAAGGGTGGAGGAGATAGGAGGTTAAGATCTCCGATTCAGAGGGCAGTTGGAGTGACATGTCGCTGGATGATGATGGTGATATGGCGCTGAGGTGTCAAAACCGCGGGGGCAAGAAGTGGACTCTCCGGATTGCAGTCGTGGCAGCAAGGTAAGGCTTTGACGGAGAGGACTCAGTCCCCCTCTGCGTACTCTTTCGCTCAGATATTGACCAAATAAAACGAAGTTTCCGAGTCAATCGGCTTTGTTCGTTCCGGTGAATGATGATCACCACTGAATCTTCAGTTTTCCTGCCTTCTGAGCTGTGGCCAGCTAGTCGTCTGTGGCTCGTCCTCTCCCAGCCAAATCAGAGAGTGGCGTCGTCGCCTCTCAGCGCCAACAAGCTCGCCCCGTTTCCTCGTGGTTCCGGTCCTGATGTCCGGGTCTGAGCCCCTGAAACGGTAGCTTTGTCGGTGATGATGGCTCCTGACTCGGCTTGCCTTCTGGAGCTTTCTATTCCATCTTGTCTAGTTTTGCTGAACAAAGGTCGATAATGGTTGTGTTCATTTTATTCCTGTGGACAGAATGTTGTTCAGTTGTCGATTTGAACGACCAAACCGACTTTCCCTTCGCGGATCGGAAAAACTTCGGATATGGGACGCGTTCTCGCCGGCCAATAAGTGCTGGCCTCGCCTTGGCTCTAGCCTTTGATCACTTCAGCTCAGATGGGAGTCGCTGCTTTTGTGTCTCTCCCTTTGATGCCGCGACCGCATTCACATCTCTCCTTCTTCCTTCTTCCTTCTTCCTCGCTGGAACCTTCATCTTCTTTGTTCTTCTTCAAGACTGGCTGATCCTGCTGACGGTATCTTCTCCTCTGCGAGGAGCCCTGTCAGCGATTTCTTTCACTTCCTCTCGGCCTAACTTCGAGATTCCCATGTCCTAGAATCTCAGATCACGGCCTCGCCTCACCATAATCATGGCCCCGCAGACAAACGATAACAAACCGATGTACGCCAAGGATGAGAAGGCGCTCTGCTTCCACGGAGAGTTGTTGTATGATGCCAAAATCACAGACGTGAAGAAAACAGATCCCAAAGAGACAAAGTCCCCTTACCATTACAAGGTCCACTACAAAGGCTGGAAGAATACGTGAGTCTCAATCTTGTCATCCTTGTTTGCCTTTGTCGCGCTCTTGTTCTGTTGAATTGCTTTTTTTTTCTGCGTCTTTGTTGTTCGAAGCCTTCGGTAGTACACGCTCTGATCCTGCCCAGACGGTAAGGCACACATTCTTGTGTGGGCAGTTGACGTGTCTGAACGTGAATTTTCCACATTCATATGCAGCGTCCGCGCGGCATCTGCCTCTCACCTATTCTTTTCTTTTACTCATGGGAAGCAGATCTCTCCATCTTTCCCCCAGACATGAAAATGCTAACCTTCGCTCTTCCAGCTGGGACGACTGGGTCCCCCAGGATCGACTTCGCAAAAACACAGAAGAAAATCGTGAACTTGCAGCAAATCTGCGCCAACAGGCCGCACTTAAAGCTGCTCCTAAAGTGACTGGTAAAACCCGCCGAGGACAAGGCTCGGAGATTGGATCTGGCAGAGGGTCAGAAGAACGTACATCTTCTGTCCCTGCTGCCGGCGGTAGGGGATCCAAGCGGGCAAGAGATAATGATCTGGAAAAGGTTGGTGGTGATTCCCCGGCCCACAAGCGTACCCGTACCCGTGTGTTTCATTCCCGTGATGATGATAATGAACCCCGTCTCGACATGATGTCCTGGACTGCTGGATCGCCCAAGAACAAGGATCCCGAGAAAAACTTAGCAAAGGATATCCCCGCACCAAGCCTGGGTACTAAGGACGACGACGACGACTTGGACGAGCCGCCAATCGCGGATGATGAAGAGGAGGCCAAGCACACCCCGAGCTTGGAACGAAAGAGCAACGATCCAGTAGACCTGCGACAATTTCTCTATGTGCCCCGCAAAGCCGCAGTCAAGGCCACGAATGCTCTTGCAAATACAAATTGGAAAGCATTGGTGGCCACTAGCCCTGTCAGGAAGAAGAAGACGACGAGGCAAAACCCGCCCAAGTCAAGCAGAGCCGCAACAAAGGAGAAGGCCATTGCTGCCACTTCCAGCAACCACAATTTGTCGGCTGGTGTGTCGAACAACCAATTGTCCACCTCTAAGGCTGCCAAACCTTCCACAAATGACGCCAAAGTTGTCAGTGGTAAAAGAAGTGCCAATGTCGGAAAGAAATCTAGCGCAACACTTGGACAGCCCAAGGTTTTGCAATCTTCTGTTTATGGTCGCTCCAAAGCTCACAGTCTCCCCTATCGCACCGCAAGCAGTGCGAGAGGTCGAAATAATAAAGTGCTCTCCTCCCCGGAGTTGGAAGACGAAGAAATTGCAGACACCGAAGATCAAGAAAGTGAAGATGATGTTGTGACTTCTGTCAGGAGGAGCGTTCAGACCTCAGCGGCGGGTTCTGATGCCAAGTCCAAATCCGTTGCAAAGAGAAACAACGAAGGTCATCGTTCGCAACAGATAACCCCGTCACCTTCCGGCTTTGCCAAAAGTCCCAGAAAACTTCGCAGCAGCAACACCACCACACCAGCTCCTCCCCGCCAGCTCCGCAGTTGTACGGATGCAACGACGCCCAAGCAACCGTTACGTCCCTGGAATATCAAAGACACCACGAACTACACACCTGCCGACATCGACCGTCTCCTTGCACAGCCTGCGCCTAAGGATGGGCCAGAATTTCTAAGTCATTGTTCCTGGGAAAAGCGCACGACTTTCCACGCACCACTGATTAGCGGAACCACCTACCTTGAAGAGGAAGCAATCAACGAGGAGCTCAGAAGTGCACGGAAGGATGGTAGACGATACACATTGCGATATCTCGGACCAAGCCAGGAACTCCCGCACCAATTTGAAGATCTGCCTTCCGACATTGACTCCGACGATGAGGATTACGGAGCGGCTCCTGCTGGTGGTGTGCCCGGCCAATCTCTTGAGGTCGACCCCCCAGGTTCCAACACACCATTCGACGCACTGAAGTTCCCTTATCGGCTTATTGAGAAAATCAACCGCGATGGCGACAGATTTCCCGCCGGCTGGACTCAGGAAAATCTCATGAGCATCCCTGATCATTGTGCCGTCTGGATCCGTGAAGAACTTCTGGTGAAGCTGCCTTTCAGAGTGCTTGAGGGTCGTCCCCCCTGGGTTCTCAATGAAGTACCAGACTATGCACCCTTCTGGGAACAATATGAGCGAGAGAACGAAGCGGAAATCATCAACGCGTTCGCCGCCAGGGGCAGGATGAGATGCAATGGCGACGACCATGCTCTGCTCGACCTTGCCATTGCCGCTAGCGACCGCGCCTTTGAAGCTGCGGCGCAAGCAAGTCGGTCCATCGGTACGGCCACATTCAATGACTTTCGCATCGATGGATGCCAAGTGTGCGCCGAACATGGTGTGTTATGTGACGGGGTAAAACCAGTCTGCCACTATTGCGAACGGGAGGGCTTGGAATGCGACTTTACATCCCCAGAGGTTGAGGAAAGCTACATGCGACGTGGAAGTCTTTACGACAGGCAACAAGAGTTTGCGGTCTTGGGTGCTCACAACCTCGAATCGGCCCTGCGCGCCAGGATCCCAGCTAATCGAGTCATTACAGGCCTGGATGCTCTCGCACTAGCCGCAGAAGTGATCGAATCCGGAAGCGCTAATCGTCTTCAAAGTAATCTTGCATGACCTACCCAGGTCCCGGGACCCAGGATTCAGGACGTGGATGTGGATTTTACCTTGCCTCGCGCCGTGGACAGCACCCGGTGCTTCAATTTGCCAGGATTGCCCAGTTTTCCTTCCCGTGATTTTGACCCTGAACAAGGAATATGTACTTACTTGACCATGCATTCGCAGGAAGACGCGTTCTACCTCCGCCCATCAATTCGCATCAATGTCCCTGACCACCTGAAGAATCTCCTTGTTGACGATTGGGAGAACGTTACGAAGTCACTGCTTCTCGTCCCCTTGCCTAGTCAAGCCCCCGCGAATTACATCATCGACGAATATTTCAACGCAGAAAAGATGAACCGCCGCTTGTGTTCGCCCGAAGCAGACATCTTGGAGGAGTTCTGTGCGGGATTGAAAATGTACTTTGAGAAAGCTGTTGGTAAGATCTTGTTGTACCGCTTTGAGAGAAGTCAGTTGGCAGAGGTAGGTCATTTCTTAGCGCATGCTCCCATTTCCGGATCCTCATACTGATCGCTACCCATCGCTACAGGTTCGGAAACTCTGGGAATCTGGGCGTTACAAAGAGTGGGAGGGCAAAGGTCCCGGCGATTGCTACGGCGCCGAACATCTCACACGCATGATCGTCAACCTGCCGGAAATGATTGCGCAGACAAACATGGACGCGGAGGCCGTATCTCGCCTGAAGACCGAACTCAGTAAGTTCAGCACCTGGTTGTCGAGGAATAGTGGGAAATATTTCTGTGCGAAATATGAGAAACCGAGTGCGGAGTACATCGAGAGCGCCCGATAGGAACGGATGCAGGAATAAGATGGCACTCGAAACGGAGAGTACGAGGTGACGATGGGATTGTTGAGAGAGCTTATTATAGGTGATGTGGGACGTTGCTGATTGCACACCGGGGGAGTAATGTGTACAGATCATCTTTGACCCAGGCCCCTGGGCGCTCTTGGTTTAGGAGAATTGAAAACGGCGTTTCTCTTTTCCGGGCCTCAGAACGAAGGCCGCAGAGGCCTCATCATGGGTTCGTTCATGGCGGGAAAGGACAAAGAAGTAGCTAGACTACATAAAGGCTCGATTCCCTCGGTGTTCACTTGTATGTATCGAGTAGAGGGCCATAAGTCGATGGTCGCCGTCACAAAAGCTTGGCATGGATTTCTTTCGTTGTGTTTCTTTTCCATTTCCTTTTGGTGCCGAAGCCTAGTAGCCGCAGACCACCACCAAGCCACCAACTCGGCTGGCAGGGCCACCAGGCTGCTTTTCTCTCCAATTCTCTCCAATTCTGTTGCGTTGATTTGCTCGACTTGACAATCTTTTCCTTGTTCCTGACACGCGATCCTCTTCCACAACACTGATGCCTCCTCTTTGAAGCTCATATCCAAAGGTACGTGTAGATGTTGCCCTTCCTCCCTCGCCTCTTATGATGAGAATCCAGCTGGCACCAGTCTGAGAAGACTTGTACTCTTTACATGCGGATCAGCTTTATATGGCACTGAGCCTACAATCTGAACATCCTGACCCCCACCAACAGCTTGCGGATTGGATCTGTGATACACGAGACTGATGTATGCTGCAGCTGCAACTGCAACAGGAACCCCTTGGCTGACGCCTGGACACCACTCCCAATCTCCCCATCATGGTCCTCCATAACCCCAATAACTGGCACTGGGTCAACAAAGATGCGGGGCCCTGGGCTAGAGAATATTTAGACAGAGAGGTCCAGAAGGTCTCGGCGGAAGAGGATGGAGTGTCGGCAAAGATCACAAGACTAATCTCGATGGACGGCGATGTGGAGGTCAGCCAGCGGAAGGGCAAAGTCATCACAATCTTTGATGTTGCGCTGCAGTTAGAATATGAAGGTACAGGCCTTCCACTAGTCGGGAGTGGGAAAGAGACGACTCATTCGTTATGCAGGCAAAACCCAAGAGGGCACTGACGTTAGTGGGAGCATCAGAATCCCCGAATGTGCCTATGATACGGAGCCTGACGACTATGTGGTATGTTTTCACATCAGCACAGCGTGCAGGATTTGGCCAGGCCACGACTGACAATGTGGCGCAGTTTGACATTGATATCTATTCGGAGAAGAAGGAGAAACAACCCGTTAAAGATCTCGTCCGATCGAAATTGGTCCCTCAACTTCGACAGGTGTTTGCTAAACTCAGTCCTGCCCTGATCGAAGAGCATGGAAAAGATCTTCAGCACGCACCCGGCTCGAACCCATCGAGCGGTTTCGCAACGCCCACCTGGCATCCTGAAAAAGAACGCAAGCCCTTGTCCCCCGCCCCTGTCACAAGCTCCGCAAGCGGCAAATCATCCATCAACACAACTACTGTCACGGCGACGGATGAATTTCGCACAACCGCGGAAGAGATGTATCAGACGTTTACCGATCCTCAACGGCTCGGCGCGTTCACACGTGCACCTCCCCGGCTATTCGAAGGCGCCAAGGTTGGTGGAAAGTTCTCCATCTTCGACGGCAATGTCACTGGGGAATTTGTCGACCTGCAGCCACCCAAGAAGATTATCCAGAAATGGAGACTAGCACAATGGCCGGAAGGACACGAGAGCACCCAGGAAATTTTCTTTGACCAGAACGACGTTGACCGAGTAACCAATATGCGCGTGACCTGGACCGGAGTGCCGGTTGGACAAGAGGAAGTGGTGCAGAGAAATTGGGAAGGCTACTACGTTCGCAGCATCAAGCAGACGTTTGGGTAGGTCTTGACGACTAGTTCACCCGTTTGTGCGTGCCTCGCTGACCGTGTTACTAGCTTTGGAACCATTCTTTAGGTTGTTGCTGCCCAAACAGGCCTCAGGCTGCATTTTTATAAAAGCAAGGCGACCGGAGTGATGGGATCGGCCAGCAATTGCATATTCTAGGTCACTTTGTACCATTCTAGACTTCTTGGAGCGGAAAAGCCTAAGAACATGAGCCCACGCAAGGACAAGATGTGAATACGATTGAATGCAGTGTTCTACAAGAGTACGAACAAACAGTGTTTGGATCCTTTTCTTTTTGCTTTCATGTCCAGGTCCCCTTTTTTGACGATGCTCGAGAAGCGCCAACCCCGGGTGATCGAATTATGTGTGCTTGATAGGGAACAGGGAACAAGCATCAGTGATTGAAGGTATCTCGTATTCAGTCCGCGAAGCTGCCATACGTCATTTCCCCCCTTTGACATCCGTATGAGGTCAGTCAACTTGCACCGCCACACCTCAACACTCCGAGACACCTACACCTCGACTGCTCCCTGTGTTTGTTTACGGTGCTTCACCATCGTCTGCGTCTTGTCGATCATCAGATCTCGTTGTCTCGCTCTCCCCGTTCACAGAGCTGGCTGAGTTGAAGTTCAGTCTGGCTGCGAAAATACATCCTTCGGTCTGCGCGACTCTGCGGCAGGTTGAACTGAAGAAGCATCGACCACCATGGCCGAACAAACCGCCTCCGCGCCGGCTACCAAAGTTCAGAGAAGCAGAGCCGATGAGACTGATCTCACCACCACCCTCGATCCAGCTCAGCGCGCAGATTTGACCCTCCTCATTGCCCGCATCACCGGGTCAATGCGCAAAGCGATTCTCGACAACTTCAGCTCGACAGCAGGACTGGATAAGACTCTTCGACAAGGTCTGACCGAGGACGAGAAGATGATGGCAGTGGACCCTGCAAAAGCCGACGTCGCTGCCTACGACCGCGAGCGGAAAATGAAGGCCGAAATCGACAGAGATCTGACCACGCTAAAGATGAAGCATCTCAAGAAGAACTGCCTGAAGGCCTTCGATGACTGGCGCGAGCAGGTCATCCTGCGGGTTGGCCAGGTCGTCAACAGTGAACGCACTGCTCAAGAGCAGGTTCAGAAGGATGCCAATGCTAATGTGTCAAAGCCTCCAGCACCAACAACCACTGCTAAGGTCATGGAGCCTGGGACCAGAATTGTCAACTTGAAGTTCAAAGACCTGTTCCCCCCGACGAAAACTCCATTGACGAAACTGCCCATGGACAAGCGAATGCTGGTGCTTCATTCTCTGCTCCTGCTGCTCCTGTCCTTGGAGCACTACAATGCGTATTCTCGCATTCTGCTGCTGAACTTGACGTCATCACTGAAACTGCCCCTTAAGACTTTTGAACAGGACGAGTACGCCACGGCTAAGGGTCTGCTCGAAGCGGCGAAAGAGCTGACAGCTGACGAGGAGAAGATGAAGAAGATCAGGGAAAATGAAGAGACCCGAAAATGGAGAGTTCGTTATGCAACAGCGGCCGGAGCTGCCATCCTCAGTGTCACTGGTGGGATGGCTGCGCCCCTTGTCGCTGCAGGCGTCGGCTCGGTCATGGGCGGACTCGGACTCGGCGCCACCTCCGCGGCTGCTTATCTCGGCTCCGTGGCAGGAAGCGCTGTTCTGGTCGGTGGACTGTTCGGCGCGTACGGCGGACGAATGACGGGTCAGATGATGGACTCGTATGCACGCCAAGTTGAAGACTTCCAGTTTCTGCCCGTGCGTGGCAGTAGTGATAAGAAGACCAGCGAAGATGAGGCCAAAGGTGCGCAAGAAGCCAGTGAATATGACCACAAACTTCGCGTTACCCTTGGCATCTCAGGTTGGCTGACCGAGAAAGAGGAGGTGGTCAAGCCCTGGCGTTCCTTGGGTAAGGGGGCCGAAGTCTTTGCGTTGAAATATGAACTTGAAGCATTGCTGAAGTTGGGAAATGCCATGAACGGCATGGTCCAGTCTGCGGCTTGGGGATATGCGCAGAAAGAAATCATATCACGGACTATCTTCGCAGACCTTGCTGCGGCGATGTGGCCAATGGCCCTGCTGAAGGTCGCAAGGGTCATTGACAACCCCTTCAGCGTTGCCAAAAGCCGTGCCGACAAAGCCGGTGAGGTTCTGGCGGATGCACTGGTCAATCGTGCCCAAGGTGAGCGGCCAGTTACGCTCATTGGATACTCACTCGGTGCTCGCGTCATATACACCTGTCTTATGAGTCTGGCGAAGAGAAAGGAATTCGGAATCATTGAGAATGCCGTCATGATTGGCTCCCCAACGCCCAGCGATACTAGCGACTGGAGAGTTCTCCGCAGTGTTGTCGCCGGCAGACTTGTCAATGTCTTCTCAGTCAATGATTACGTGCTTGGATTCATGTACCGCACATCAGCTATCCAGTATGGTGTGGCCGGCCTGCAAAAGGTGGAAGGTCTGAACACTGTCGAAAACTTCGATGTCTCGGAAGATGTCAGCAGCCATCAACGCTACCGCTATCTTATCGGCGCCATTCTCAAGAAGACCGGCTTTGAGGATATCGACATGGCCGCCGTTGAACGAGAACGGCAAGAGCTAGTTGAGAGGGAAAAAGAAGAGGAGAAAGAATCCCGTGCTGCGCAGAAAAGGTGGCTCCTCAGGAGGGAGTCCCATGGCGGCAAGGTAGATGAAGCTGCCGAAGGAGAAGCCGAGGCCGAGGAATTGGAAAAGAAGATTCAGGAACGGACGACGAAGACCTTGGTTACCAGGGTTATCGAGTACTTCTACGTGCCGAGCGTCCCAACAGCGAAAGATGCACAAAATGCTGCCGGCAATCTACAGCAGGCTGGACAAGGCCCCACCAAGGCTGGCAATGTTGCAGGTCAAGCTTCCACAGAAAGCTATGCAACCTACATCTACAAACATCTGCCGAGTATGCCACAAATCAACCGATCCAGTTTCAGCACGATTCAAAAAGGCAGTCCCACCGGTGCCGGCAAAATCACGGGGCGAGCACCCAAGGAAGGCGATGAAGGAGCAAGGCAAGCGCAAAGCTACGTCAAGCAAGCCTCCCAATACCTCTCTTCTCTGCCTAACATGCCTTCCTTCTCAGGCGGTGGTCAAGATAGGGCGGGAAAATTCCCTGCACCACCTAAAACAATGACTGAAAAAGCTACAGACTCTGTAAATGAGGCAGCAGAAAATACTACCTCCGCTACTAATGGCACAGCAGCCACACCGTCTGTCAAGAACACACTAAATCCCAAGGACAATCCCGCAGTAAAGTCCGCAAAACGTACTGTGCGCGATGCACGTATCATTCACCCAGCGAAAGATCGCACACCTGCTCCAGTGAAGGATGAAGCATATGAAGTATCCAAAGCAAAAGGGGCAGCTGTGCAGAATACCACTCAAACAATACAAAGAGGGTTTGATACCACGACGGGCAAAGCTGATGAGGCGGCGAAGGTAGCAAGAAGAGGAGCCCAAGACGCCAGTCAAGGGTCAACAGATGGTGCTCAGGGCGCCACGAAGACCGGGCAAAGCTATGCGACCAGAGCAGCGGCCTATTTGCCTGGCGTACCGAGCATGCGATTCGGAGGTGCTGGCAAGGGCGAGAAGAAAACCGCTCCGCCAAAGCTCGCAAAAAAATCGTCTGATCCGAAGAAAAGCGTCACAGCTAGACGTGCACAAGACACACCAAACCTTGGGAAGGCACTGTCAGGAGTCAAGTTCCCACCGCCAAAGCCCGACAGAACCCCATCAGGCATCAAGTCACCGCCACCGAAACTTGACAGAACTCCCTCGGGCATTAAATCGCCGCCGCCCAAGCTCGGCAGAACTCCATCAGGGGTCAAGTCTCCGCCGGCAAAGCTCGAGCGGACTCCCTCCGGCATTGAGTCATCACCGGCAAAATTCGAGCGCGTCCCGTCTGGCGTAAAGTCTCCGCAAAAGCTGGGCAGGCCTTTGTCAGGGGTTCCCACTCCGCCCACGTCGGTCCCGACACCGAGCCTCATCCAGCAGGTCAGCAGTGATGTGAGATCGCCGCCGCCAAAACTGGGGCAGAGGAGGAGCTCAAGTCAGCAGGTTCAAACCCCTGCAGCCCCGAACCCCACAACCATTGGTGAGAGGCTGGCGAGTCTCTCCCAAGAAGCTGGGACTGCCGTCCCAGCCGCGGCGGATTATGGAGGGTCCGTTGACTCCAGACAAGTAGAGGAGTCCACGACAACCAAGGAAGACGAGAAGAATGCCGCAGGCAGCGTGCGAAGGACCGGCGGTAGCATGATTTCGGGGACGGACGGATGGATTCGGAAGGGCTGAAAAGGGCTGAACTGAGCGGGCCTCAAAGGAGAGAAAGGTGTCGTAAAAGATGAAATCTACCTTGCATCTACCGCCTACTTTGTGCAGACGGAGCCTGGCAAACGGTATCTATTGTTGTATCTCGGGAAAGGGGGGATTAATTAGCATGTATGTACTGTATGCAGAGTTGGTAGACGTGTGGGGAAAAAAACGGGGGATAGTGTGATATTTTATGCACTGATTTTGACGGGGGTAAAGCGATATATATAGAGTACGTCGCCTCCCTTCTTCACAATTGAGTAGCCTTGGTATCTCTCTCTGGGTACATCTAGCCTTTATACCACCGTGCGACCCACCAAGAGACGGGCCTTCGATCATATCACACCGGTCCCTCCACACCCTGCGCGCCGGTGAAGATAACATTATCAAGCGCAAAATCAATCTCATTTCCCGGCTCCAAGCCGGAACAATCCCAGATCGGCGAGAACACCAGGTCCGAAAATTCGGCAAGGAAATCCAGGGATACGCTGTGTCCCCACGCCGGCTGCGCGGTGTCGCCGAAGAAGTAGACAAGGTCGGTGTTGGACGGGTCGCCGACCTGGAGCGTCAGGGAGCACGAGGAGAAACCGGCGGCGGGCGGCGGGTCGGCCACGTAGGGGATGGCGTAGTCGTATGTGAGGGTGTAGAAGGTGTTCGGACGAGGTTTGTCAGGTTTTGCGAGACGCTTGAGACGGACGTGCTGGAGACGCCGCGGAAGTATCTGCGCCGAGTGCGTTAGTCACTGGTACCCTTGAGAATTGAGGCGTTTGTTTGCAGTGGAAAGAAACCAGGGGAGGGGAAAAGAGACATCCAAAGGGTGAGACATGAAAAGGATACAAGGAGATACGTACACGAATTTCACACCGTCGGGCGTGTCATAATCCGTCCCGCTGTTCTGGTCAAAAAAGGCGTCCCCGGAGACGGTCCAGTCGCCGCTAGCGGCGTCCAATACTCCTATCGAGTCGAAGGAGACGTCTTCGAAGCTGCCGTCCGTTATGACGTCCTGTGGAGAAGATGCTGTGGTTAGCTGGCCATTCTGGGATATTTTTACCCTCTACCAAAGGGGGCCAAGGATGCTGAATGGATACGTACCGCCGTTGTCGAGGTTGGACAAGCATTTGTGGGACACGCGGATGATGCACTAGTCGTCGTAGTTGTGGTGGTGGTGGTGGTGGTGGTAGACTAATGATGTTTGAGTTTACCTTCCAGTTTCTATAAGAAGCGAGGAGATACAGTACTTACAGTTGTGGTGGTAGTAATAGTTGTTGTCTGTCAGGGTATTTAGCTTGAAAATCTACAAGAGATGGACGACTTGTCCATAGGGTTAGCTTACCGTTGTGGTGGTGGTACTGGCAGTAATGGGCGTCTAGCAAAGTTAGCTTCTTAAAAAAAGGATCTGAGAATATTCTTACCGTTGTGGGTATGGTCGAAGTTGTCGTTGTCGTTGAAGTTTGAGGTTAGAGTTGTGGTTGAAATTATGGTCCTGGATGGAGTCGAGCTTGTGTAGGTAGAGACACTAGAGCTGGTGGTGGTTGAGGAGGTCGTAGAGCTTGTATATGTCTTTGAAGTATATATTCTCGATGAGTTGGTGGTACTCGTCCTTGCCTCCAAATTAGTAGGAGAGACACTTGTTCCGGCAGGTCGAGAGTATGTTGTCCCGGAGCTTCTTGTGGTAGGGGTTTGACTCGTTGAGGAAGGCGTATGTGAAGGTGAAGGGACGGATGTGTTCCACGACGTGGCACCTGGAGAGCTTTCTGGAGTGGACGGGCTGTTCGAATGACTCCTTGAAGGTGTGGTTGAGGAACCTATAGATGTGCTTATCAGGGGACTTGCCGACTGAGAGGGTGTCCACGAAGGGCCTATTGGAGTCCTCTGCAGTTCGGCCATGCTAGTTCAATCTTTCCAGTCATCGGTAAGACCAGTCTCCGATATCATCGTCGTCGCGTCGCCTAGAGAAGTATTCCGTGTACGACCATCGTGTTCTGCTGAATACGACCAGGTTGAAAAAGAGCCGGGGAATGATGTTTTGAAATGCCCGGAAACTACTCGTACAAGGACAGACGGAATGATTGTTCGTAATGGTAGTGGTGATTAGTACATTGGAATCACCCCGCTTGTCTGGCTCCCGGCCATGACAGATGGTAACAGCAGCTGCGAGGGCCAGAAGCAACAACGCAATCATCATCCCGAAAATGGAATGGAATCAGAGGCAACAAAACGAATGGACGGCGACAAATGTCACCACAACAAGTGGACGGCCTTGAACAGACCAAGCAGCAATATAAGTGTTACATCCAGAAAGCAGTACCGCTACGGAGGCATGGAGGAGATGGCCAGCTAATATGGAAGAATATGGGGCAGCAAGGGGCAGGTAGGGCAGGTGGGTCGGTGGGTTCGCTTCGGTGAATGATCTAGCGAAGGCCTACTGCAAAATGTGGCTAGCGTGTCCGAATAAGGAACCCGATTAGTATCAATGCGGAAAGCGATGGGCAGAGATCTGAGCAACAAACCGCCTTCCCAATTTCTCCATACCGACGGCCATGGAAATCTCAGTACTAGGGCTGTCGCGTGGCGTACAGAGAAGGGAAGGCGTTGCGTTGTCAAGCATTCTAACGGATAACCTTGTCACAAAGCTTGCTCGAACGCGATGAGAGCCACCCCTCTCGGTCCGTCTAATGCTCGTCGGGTTGCTTCTGGGCTTCGGTGTTTTCGCTGGTCATTGGTTAAACTCTCTGCATAGACCAGCTCCCATCTTGGGATTCATTCCGATCTCTTCCTCTCTGGATGATTTGAGCGCTTCCCCAGGAATCTCAACGACATGCTGCATCATGCATATCGCCGCATCGGGATTTTTTATATGCGAAAGTAGTTACTCTCAATCAAATACATATAAGCAAAGTGAAGAAGGTAAGAATAGCTCTGTCTCCTTTAGTAGATGAAGCATTGAGTATAAATGAGTGACTCCCTAAATTTTGTGATCTGCTCATTTTCCCATCCATGTCTCAATAGAAGTTCCTTCCTCAACACATGACAGAACAAAAGCTGTCAGGACTCGGGCCGTCGAACTCAGTTGTTCAGAGCAAAGAACTCCAGCAGTGGCAGCTTATCGAACTCACTTGTGTCCAGAGCGTTGCAGTCTCGGTTTTCCGGAGGGAATTCGAAGCTCATCACAGACTCTGGGTTTGTCGTTGCCATCCGGAAGGCGCCTTCTTCATACAGGGCCGGGCCCAGTGCGAACTCGTGCCTAAGGCCCAGGACGTGTCCCAGCTCATGCAAGAAGACGTTCTTCATGATGGAGTAATTGGTCCACCCCGCCCTCCTTCACGGTCTTGTCGAAAGCACTGCGATATACCCGCAGTGTATTCAAAACCTCAGCATCTGGGAAGAACGCACTGGCAAGAACACCTTCGTTGTCTCCGCCGTAAGCTAGGACGAACGCGGCGTCATCGGCATCAGAAACCCCATTGAAGGTGACGCCCACGTTATGGCTGTTCCACTCGGCAGTCGCCTTTTCTCAGCTCTTTGGCTGGGTAGACTGCATCCGCCGGCGTAGGGTAGCCAGTGACTGAAGCGGCGAAATTGATCGTCGAGCCCAGTTTCCAGCGCGGGGTTGATTTAAAAACGCCAACCACAAATCGATGCAGTGAACACTGGGTTTGCTTCTTGAGTGATGCCAGCGTAGGCGCGCCCGGTCGGAGGGGCAGGAGCTTGGTCTCCTCTGGAGGATTTTCGAGGTCGGCTAAGGTCAGGGTCTCAATTTTCGTTTCGACTGCATTGAGCATGTTGCGTTTGAGTGCTGACGCTGAGGTTGGTTGAAATGTCACCTGGTCCGACATGTCTGCGGCTGTAAATGTTCATTGCACTAGCGGTACAGGCGGGCCTGTAGTTTTGTTTTGCCAGAGTACCACACCACTCCTCGTATTGAAGAGGGAGGATATACAGTCAGAACAGCTTGTGGATGAGGCAAACAACGTTCGTCCGCTGTCCATTTCTCGATGGAATTTCCCACTGACCTCTTTGATGGACGCAGCCATCACCACAAAAATCCGAGCCAACCCACGTGAACCCTTCCGCACCGCAGAACCAATTTAGCTATAAGTGCCATAAGCTCTCCAAATCGCTGCCAGACACAGGACACGGACTTGATGCAGACCTTGAAAGAGGATGTATGGAAATATTCTCGAAGTGTTCGAATTCGAGATTGGTATGGCCCGAGCCTCGGCGGCATAATAACATTGACGGAAAGTTCTCTCGCTTTAAACTGCTCGCAAGTGAGTGCATGGAGCAACTCTACGACGATGCACCCGACAATAAATTCGGGGCTATTGGATTCCTTTCTTTTGCTCGACTTCATCATCTGAACTTGCATTATTTTGAAGTGGAACTCGCACGCGAACTGAAAGACCTTAAGACACAGGGGAATACCGGAGAGACTCAGATCATGAAGATCCGGAAATTGCTGCGCGAATATAGTAGGTGCTGACATTGCCGGATATGCCTTTATTTGTCCCTCCTGGACTTTCTAATCCAGTCTTCCTGGCCCAGATGAAGCTATCAAGGACTATGAAACCGTACTCGGGCGCAACCGCCAACCGCCAAAGGGGATATTAACATCGTTCCACCAAGCCTTGCTTCCACACTTAAAAGAACTCATCAACGAGAGCGCCTACATTTGGGAAAATGGCTATATCTATCTTCCAACCACTACACAATGGGCAAACGAGCTCTTTGGCAGAATATTCGGGGCCTTGTTTGGTAGGCTAGCCCTAATCACCCCAATGCTCATTATGGCAATCAACACATCACAAACGAAAAGCCTTATTACGGCGTCACTCGCAACTATTGTAATGGCACTCGTCGTTGCATCAGTTGCTAGTGGACCGGACTCATGGAAGGATGTGGTTGGTATCACCGCTGCTTTTGCCGCTGTGCTGGTAGTATTTGTAGGAACAAGTACGGGCACGAGCGCAAGTAGTTCATAGGTACAAATTGAGGAACACTTATTCAGAGCCCTAAGACTTGGAGACGAGATCCCACTGTGGTTGGGTTGTACCGAAAGGTACGAGGGAGAAGTTCCGCATATATTGAACTGGGGCGAGGCTACTAGCCATGGGCATCAACTCGTACGGCGGTGGGTATGGTCTCTTCTCAACGCGCACACTCAACTAGGGGAAGTCCTCTCTGTTGGTAACTTGGTTGCTTGTGTATTGTATGAAAGATCGTCCCCCAGACTATGTAAGAAGAACCATAGTCTAGGGTCGGCGCCCCAGCCAATCATAACGCTATCCACCACTTCCAACTTCTCCCATTACAATATCTTTTCCCTTATTTTGCAGAAGCCTCACAAATATTTCGATCTAGAGTCAGGAGGACTTCGGTGTACGGACGCATGGAGGCGAGCCGGTAAACGGATAACTGGATACTCGGGTAACCACTAGGTAGCCACCAGCCATGTGCGTGAATGTCCCAGGATCCGCATTACCAGTAAGAAATCCCCGCGCTGATCCTACTTCGAGCACCGTGATGGCTGTGGTGAATAGCCACTTTGCATCGTACAGCCCAAAGATTCTCGACCACGGGAGAATGGTGGACATTGACCCAGGCGAAGGCCGTTCCCATCAACGGAAACTTCTCCATATCGCCTAGGCTGCGAATGATGTTTACTTGCTCGTCCCACAACTGTGTTGTCGAGGGCGTAGAGGGATGTGGATATCATCACGGAAGTCACAACCAAGGTCCACTGTAAGGAATGCGTCAGTGGTGAGACATCTCATCAACAATACATTCACAAATTTCACATGCCTTGAATCCTCTCATGTCTCTCCCGGAAGACCCTCGGTCCGTCCCTATAGCGTCTATCTTGGTGCCGACGCTGTCGGCTTTTTCCCTAGTCGGCTTCACATTGGCGTCTCGATGGAACAGTCGCCGCCAGTTGTGACAGGTGAGCGTCGTTTGTGCTACTGAAGGAAGTCTTCCAAACATCCATTGTTTACCACCACATCTAAAGTCGCGAAGAGGAGAGTCTTGGCAGAGAGCGAAAGTGGGAGATGGTTAGCGGAGTATCAGTCTGGATACAGTTTGCTCAAGGAAGTGAATGTATTCTTGGATTTGTTACACCCCTTTAGATCTCTTATTTATATCATTGCAACTTACTGCTCTCTGAGCTCACGCAGACTTCTTGGTCCTGAATTTCACCATGTTTTATACTGGGATCCGCGTCAATACCCGCGAGGCTAACCAAGGCTGTGGAAGACACCCACCCAACCGGCAGAATACAATTCGACCCACCAAACTCGCCTGGTGAGAGTGTTGCGCATACCCGAGTGGCCAGCCTTGATCAACAAACCCGACCAACTTTGTTAGATGTGAATCGAGCGCTGTCATGCTTTTAGTCTCACCGGCCCCGGGTAATCAACAAGCCTTTTGCACGGGTTATCGATGCCAGGTACCCAACCTGTGGTGGCCTGAATGCATCTCAACTACCCGCAAACTCATAGATTTACTTTCCGTGCTGGCAAACGACTGGAATCCTTCATCGATAGTCAATCTTTCCGTTGCTAGTCTAAATTTGCAACCTCAGTGATGACCACAGTCTACATGAGCAAAAACACCATCAGTGTCCTTCTCCTTGGTGCCGCCGGGTCCTTGGCTCTCGTATTCTGGGCGACCTGCTCGAACGATCCTTTATCGATGTCAATGTTATCGTGAGGAACCGGAACAAACTGAATTCTATCCTCTCTAATAGGGAGCAATTATGCCACCAGATATTGAAACCTGCTTCTATACCTTCGCCCGAGCCACGGTTCTCTGTCATTGAGGAAAATGCCACCAATTCGGGTATATTAGTTCGAGTTATACGGGAGAAGTCCATCCGGATCCTCATCAATGCGGTAGGCCATGCCCTGATGTTCGCGCGAGGGGCTTCTAGTTCCGTCTCTGATGGAGGAAAAAGGACTTTCAGCAGCAACAACGTAGTGGCCCGCATCGTTTGTGCTTCCGCCAATGCAATCAAGAAAGTCAGAAAGTCAGCAGAGACCGGCACAGCCGAAAAGAGGATAGGAGGATGGTTTATAGGAGGAATGTTGCAGTATGATTTCCCTGAATCAAAAGGAGGAAGTGCTCAACACCAGACTCGCCAGGAGACTCGGTCTCTGGACGAATAGATTCTGCGTTGGCTTTCTATTTGGGAACTAAAGACTTTTGTCCTCAATTTCATCCTGGTAAGCTCCTTTCTGATCATTTGACAGTCTACCACTTTATCTCCACCACCGTCCTGTGGAGTCTATCCTGCGATCGTCCAAATATGTGGACTGGGCACTTTTCAGTCCCGCGAAGATGATCCCACGCTCCCGGCAGCCCAATTTACCTACTTCGTTGGCCATCGCCAGTGATGAAGACACTTCTCTCGCCATACGCAATAAATCGCAAACACACGCATCACCAACCCTCGTTGTGAGTCCGGATGTGCCCCCAAAGTGGAGTATCTGACCTTCTCTGCGGGTGATACCAAGAAGCATCGGACCGTTGCTGGAGATCATTGCAAACTCCGCTCAGTACACGGTAACCTTCGAGGATGTGAGGGAATTCATCGTCGATAGCATTGTGTACGAATACGAGTTACAGCAGGAGCAGAACGCTTCCAAAAACGACCGCGAACGCCGCTAAACTAAGTTTCAGGAGCCCGTGGTCAGAAGAGAAGAACAAGGAGCCGAAAACACTCGCGAGAAAAGTGTTTGGATCAATAAGATTGGCCTCATTGCCCCTTCTGGCAACACTTGACGATCGGCGAGAATGTGAGATGAGAAAAAGGGGATGAGATCGACGGCCTTCAGATCAATTCCAAGACGCACCGCTGGTGGTCCAGCATTTCCTTCCTGTGTATCCGAGATAGGGATATCGGAAGGGACGGCGGGGAGAGGTTTTGGGCAGGCCATGCCACACACTGATTGCGGGGGCGACGGCAAGCATATTTCCATAGATGCCTAATCTTGATAGCGCTACTACACAATGGCGGACGGGAAACCGTGCTCGGGAACGCGAACTCTTATGATTAACGATGCGCACCGTCCTCAACGCAATAGTTCCACTAGGAGCTTTTAGTATTTTGCGGTAATGTCTTTTCAGCCAGTCAGTGACCAGGGCTCACACCGCCACAAATTCTCCTTCGTTGTCGAATATGTTCGGTATGTTTTCAAAGTAGTCCCGGCACTCCCGATACCACGGTATCGGTCTCTTCCTCTGAATTTACACTGCCAATGTACCCTAGCCAGCCTGTTCGTACCTCGGCAAACACTACAGGAGTCTCTGAAGTTGCAACAAAGACAGGGGCGAAAACTAATATTCAACAACGGAATCTTCGGTTGGCAGATACCATGCAGCACTGCTGTTAACATCTGCAAGAAAAAAAGGCCTTTTGGCTGTACAAGGACGGCCACTTGCTGCTCGGAAGTCCTTTGGCGTTCTGATTCAAAGCGACGGTGATGCAGTGATAGGAGCCAACCTTCCAAGGAAGATTTTATCTCGTGTTGAAGTATTTGTGCAGATCGTTTGGGCGTACAAAGGAGCTGAGGAGGCCGCCTAGGACAACTCTGCCGCCGCTGCGAACGAAATCGATGAGCTTCTCTGAGGCCAGGTTGTTTCTGGCACTGGTAATGCCGCAATCTGTCACGAAGATCGCTTCGGGATTGTTGTCGTCGTTGAATAGGTCGAGAGCCTCTTGAAGATTTGCAGCTTGTTCGACCACCGCCTTTTGCGCGATTTTTTCATCAACCGTCCATGGATTTCTTGAAAGAGATCCTGATCATCAAGGGAAACGACGAAGACAACTGGAGAGGCTGTGGGAGTGGTAGACGGCGACATTTTGTAATGACTTATGTGGAAGACCGGTTCTTACAACGACTCAGAATGTCGAACCAAGAGAAGTCAAATTGGTTGCTTTATTGATTGAATTTTAATCTAGAGCCCGAGACATGATCAAGAGGTGTCGCTGTGCCAAGAGCATACCACCCTAAGCCTAATTTGGAAGAATTCAGTGGCAGCCCCGCCCACCAAGCTAGGCAGCCTTGCCAGCCTCGCAGCTGCACTTGCCCAACGGGCCAAGAGCCTCATTTGGCCTGATAGTGGATATATGGAGAGAATCTGGCTAGGCCTCGAAAGGTCCAGAACGATTCAGGAGGGGACTTCATGCTACAGCGCTAAGAGTATAAACAGGCACAGCCTCGCTCAGAACCAGGCACGACAGTCGCAGTTAGACAGATCAAGTATTTCTGTCAGTCTACGTAGCTAGCGTTGCAAACGCCACAGAAGTTCTATGCGCAATGGCTTTCTATGCACCGACGGCAACAGCGAGGTTAAGTATCTGAGATATTGAATTACAGGATCTGTATGATTAGGAGATATGAGCGCCAGCCGAATTAGGGCGTGTTCGGCGGCATTCACGAAATACAGTTATGCGTAATCGGTCTCCAATTTCCATAAATCGGCGAGAAAGAGTGCTCCAGGGACTTAGCAGCCGAGTCCCATTTCCACTTCCGCTTGCTCCAACTCCCTTGAAGCCAATTTTCGCTGAATCTATTTGGAACGCCTCGCTAACTGCCATACCTCAATGTCCTTAGAGTGCCTAGCCAAAGTCAGTACCAGGCACCAGAAACTCTGCGAGAAACTCAGCCCAAGACTCACAAGTATGGGCTGATCTCCCTTAACATCTCCCGTGTACTGACACACTTCGTTAATGGTATCCTGCAAACTCTGTGACTCGCCGCCGCAGCTGAAATCGATCTCGTCCTTGTGTATCACATTCAAATATTCAAGGATATTATTACAGTGTTCCTCCTGAACGAGTTACTGCACGCACTGGGCCACAGAATCCGGATCCCGCTTGCCTGTATTGACTTGGGACTGTGCATTACCCGCGGCGTACTGCAGCATCCGTTGGTCCTCCCCGAGGGATGTTTTTTAGCCGAAATCGACATGCGCGTTGGCAATTTGTGTCTGGAAGGAGATGAAGTCGTTGTATTGTTCTGGAGTGATCAATGTTCCGTCATTGGTGTCTAGCTGTTTGATCTCTCCAGCGAACCTGTTCGAGTTGAAGAGTTTGACGTCCGGGTCAGTCATCCATCCATCTCCCGTTCCAAGGTCCATATTGAGTGATGCGAGGGTCAGTTTCTTTCAAGTCCTAGGTATAATTCTTTGCGGTTGGTTCGCTGTAGTGTCGACGCGCGGTCTCTTTGACAAGGCTCGAAAAATTCAGACCACAACAGTAATGGTCAGCAAAATTCACCTGGAGCGGCATCAGTCCTTTATACATGCAGCAATTCATGACACCTGACTACGTAAAGCACAATTACTTGATTGGTCCTTTCCCCTAGTATTTCTGACATGTATGGAGACGGGAACTCCCGCGCAGCTGAGTAACTTATATCACCGGCCCGTACGCCGATCGGTCCTTTATACATATGGATATTAATTATGAACTTGAAGGAAGCTTATTGTAACAAGATCTGGAGTAATATATTACATTCATCAAGGTTCAGAAACGGCCTGCCAATCAGCGTTGCCGGGATAGGATTCTGACCAATCCGAGCCCCATTCAGGAGTCTTCAGGAGTCGGGATTCAAATCCTTACAATCTCAGACCTGATTAGCTAGGAAGGCGTTATTCCAGTCCCATCACTTTCAGACATTTTAGTGCTTACTGTAGTCGTTATCAGTACCATATAGCCACCGCAAATCGTGCCAAGCACTCCAAGCCTTGAGTCCCTCAGGAATCGAGTTCTGGCAACGCGGCCTCCATTCATCTCGTGGGATGATCTTCTCAGTATAGTCTAGCGTCCTCTTTAGAGCCCCACGGGAGCCCCTGTGGACAGCGAATAGAAGGTGAAACCATATGTAAAAGGGTTGATTCATCCGACGTAAGCACTTAGAAAGAGAAGTATTTGTCTGGGGTAGCGGGCGAAAAAAAAAAAAAACAGGAATAAATGTTCACGAGGGATCTCATGCGAATGTTACATAAGCAAGGGTGAGCGTGGCTTTATTATTCGTGCGTTTGGGTATCTAGGGTTGGATATATCTGCCCTAGTTCCTGTTTGTTGTTATCTTTTTTTTTTTTTTTTTTTTTTTTTTTTTTTTTTTTTTTTTTTTTTTTTTTGTTGTTGTTGTTGATATAGCTTGGTTTCCCTAATTTTGTTCGTCAAGCTTCAAGGAAGTAATCACCCAAAATGATCATGTTCCCGTTCGCTATCCTCGAGATCACCGCACTCAGACACCATGGCTTGGCTGGCTGGTAGTTAGGTAAGTAACGAACGACCGAACTCTCCTATATTATGAGTGCTTAGCAGCCATAACCCTTGTCCGCTGGCTCGTCCCCAACGAGAATATCTAGCTTGCCCCTGACAGTCTTGACGCTGACTGAGTTCCTATTCCTGTCGCCCTGTCGGCCCACCATGCCGCCGACGACTCTCTCCACGGCCAGGTCCTTGCCCTCAAGCTTAATGTCCCCAACGATGCCACGCGCATCGACCGTGCCCTGGAAATTTGCTGGGTACGTGATTAGCTGGTCGCCAGCGACGGACGAGTGATACGCCTCGAACAGCCGCTCCGCGGCGATGGAGTCGACGTATACACGCGAGTTGCCCGACGCGATCCGCGTCGAGAGCATGGCTCGAGGCGCGGCGCCGGACTTAAAGGCCACGTTGATGTAGATGCTACCGCTGCCAATGTCGATGCTGGTCGAGTTGTAGATCGCCAGTGTGCCGTTCAGGTCACCGTGGCCGAGGTGGATGTGGGTCGAGCCTTGATTGCCCGAGGAGATGGAGGGGATGTCGAGTTTCACGTCGCCCCTTCCTACGTCAACGTTGGTCTCGTTGCGGGCGTGTGTTAGGGATCCGCGGAGGGCGCCGTTGCCAATCGAGAGTTGGGTCATGTTAGTGTGGACAGGGCCAGTCTTGACGAAACCCCTGCCCACTCGGATCGCGAAGGAGCCGATTTCCAGAGATTCGGGCAGTTGGCTGAAGTCGACCATGTGGCGTGGGACATCGACTTCGAATCGCGGGAGAGCGAATTCTCCCAGGATGTTGGACGGGATCTGGATCGCCGCGGCGGCGTAAGTCTCGAGCTTACCGGTAGATGGGGTGCGGACAGTAAGATGGCCGTTGTCTTCCTGGACCGTAACAGCTCCATCTTTGTCCTGCTTGCTCGTCTTGATGTCCAGGTCGATCACGACCTTGTTGGAGAACTTGGAGGTTGCAAAGACAACTTTCCCAAACACTTTTGCTCCTCGGACAGAAAGGCCACTGGCTTCGCTAGGCTCGAATTCAAAATGGGTGGTGCCGTTGAAGGGCTTCCACTTCTCAATGGGCGGAAATGGGTGTTGATGATGGCCATCTTCATCGAACAGCAGCGGGCTGTCATCGAGCACTTGGTGATTCATGCCGTGGCATGGCCTCGTAAGGCCACGGGAATGGAAACCAAAGGCGTTGCTAAGCACTTTGAGGAGCAGGAGGACGCTTAAGAAGCTAAGAGCAAGCCTGAACAGACAGGTGGTGAGGGTGGTTCGCCTCACAGGAGGTGACGAAGTTATTGGTGCTGGAAGATCCTGAATCTCAGAGACCTTCTCGTCAGAAAACCTGTGGGGCGTGGTCGACATTTTGACACTGAGCTGGCCAAGCAGGCAGACACAGTAAGATCAGAAAGGATCGTAGAGGAGGAAGGAGTGAATGAGCGAGGGTAAGAGAGATGGATTTAGGGATGATATGCGACGGGTGTGTAGATGGAAGTTTTGCAGAATGGATGCTGCCTGGAGAAATCGAGACCGAGTTCATTCGCATCGGACCATGAGAGCATCATACCATCCACACTATGAGGTCACTCGCGCCACTGGCAAGACCCACATATATCACATATAAAACATACATTGATTGGCCGGGTTATGGCACTAGCGGAATTGAATTATCACTTACCACGTGACTCCCACGTGAGCTCTCCGCTCCGGGGCCAAGCACTTCTTTCTCAGTCTCGTCCCTCTGCCTAAACCCCTCACTCCCAACTCCCACTTTACTCCCACACATGGACGTGCTTGAAGCTCTTGAGGACCTTAACGTTCTTCGTCATCTTCACCCGCCGCTTGGAAAAAGAGCCGTGGGCCTCTTCAGTCTTAACCTCGGATTCCTCCGTGCTGCCCTCCTCTGGCTCGATAAGCTCATCCCTTTTGACATCAAAGCAAACCACATCCTCAGCCGCACTACCACAGGTCGGGTAGACTTGTCGCGTCTCCATGTCGCAATACAGCTTCTCGTCCAGGCTCACGAAATGTGGGCCTTTGGTGTGCTGGTTTTCACATAGACGCTTTGCACTCGACCTGCCAAGCCGGCTTTTGACCAAGTGCCCACTGAAGTTGAAAGGCCCCTTGCTGCTCGCCATATCTGCCGGGTAGGTATCGTTGAATGAAGGCCACACGAAGAGATCTGTACCGTTGTCGTCCAGAGGAGCATCAATATCTGGGACCAACTGAAAAGTTATCCCAGGGATACCAATACCTTCTGGGCTGTTGTCGATCCAGACGCATGATGTCGACCCGTTCATGACTTGCTGACCTGTCTCATAGTGGTCAACGTTGAAATGCGCCCCCAGGTTGCCACTTAAGCTCATCCAGTCACTGTCAAAGCTGGTGATGTTGGCGCCCGCTATACAGATTGGCCGGGGCCCGGCGTTGGTAAGATGTATCCGCTGGACCTCGGGCGGAAAGGTGAGCGTGTATTCCGGGCCTGTAGACATGGGCACCGTGATATAATCCCCGTCGAATATTTGCGAAGTAGTGTCGTTTGCAGTATAGATGCCCAGCGCCGGGAGAGGGTCGGTATATGTCCATGTCAGCCCTTCGGTAACGACGAGTCTTGCCTGCGGTATACGAGCTTGTATCGCCGCGGGCGAAGCTGCCTCGCTTTCTGAGCGCTTGTACACATCCTTGTATATCGGCTTCATTTTCTGTGCACCGATGAATCCTCTAACGTTTCCCCAGGTATATCCTGCTGCAATCAAGCCATAGGTAACAAACGCAACAGCGGCCTTTGCCGCGTTGTATCTCGAAAGCCGCGGCAGCAACTTTTGAAGTTGGGGCGCGGTCAGCTTCGCAAACTCTTCTCCCGACATGGCGTAGAGCTTTGCGTTCTGTTTGGGAGAAATCGACTTGCCGACCATTTCCACAAATTCTCGGCCGGTCAGTTGCCCTGGCTTTCTGTAAAAGAGTATGCAGGCTTCCTCGCCGGTAAAGGCTCCCTCCTTTTTGACAAAATTCCGCACCGCCTTTCCCCAGCTTGAATATGTCTTCACATCGATTTTCAGCCCTGGCCTCCAAAAAATCGGGGTTGTCTTCCCGTCGCCCTTGAGTATGTTGAATCTCGTTTCCCGAGGGAATTTCAAGATCTCGTCTGCAGTCCATATGTCTTGCCACTCGTTCACCTTCTTCGGTCCTGCTGCTGCCTCCGGTGCCCATTCTGCTGCCGCTTCTCCTCCGGGTTGCGGGTGGCGGACTGCAGTTCCTGTTGACTCCATTGACTCCCCTGGCACGTGTGAGTGTGCCGACGGTTCTCCCCCCGGCTGTGGACGGCGAGCTGCACCTGCTGTTGACTCCATTGACTCCCCTGAGGCGAGCGAGTCTGTCGACGGTTCTCCTAATCGCGGACGGTGATGGGGGACGGGAGAGTCTGGCGGGAGTGAGTGCCCGTCGTAGATGACCTCGCCTTCGATCGCTTCCATCACCTCTCCTTCCACCTCTGTTACCGTCGACGCGAATCTCGATCCATCTATCGCTTCCATTGACGACCCCAAGTTTCCTTCTCGCACCCCTTCTAGATATTGTTCTCGTGACCCGTCATTCGCTACCGTTGACAATTCGGCTACCGAATCCGTTTCTGATATTGATAGCGCTTCCGCTGATCCATCTATCGCTTCCATGGATCCGGGGTCGTTCGGGGGGGTGTGATGGACAACGCTGCCTGTCGACTCCTCCGAGGAGAGGCTCATTGAGTCTGATAGAGGTCTCGGTTCCGAGCCTCTCACCGCGCTTGTCGACGATATTTGCGACGGCGTCCTGGCTTCGTCAAAGGACTCGGTCCAAGCATGTGATTGCGATCCATCTGCCGCTTCTGTTGACCACCCTTTTGATATCGATTCGGCTGAGATATCTGAACTTTCCGATACGGATCCTCTTACCGCTCCTGTTGACGAATGTTCCCCGCTAGAGGCGTACCAATCGGTAGCGGTTTGTTTTCCTTTGACCTGCTCGCGGACCCATTCTGACTCTGTCGATGTCGAGTAGTGTCTTGATATCTCTGCGCCCTCTGCGGCCGCTCCTTGCCCTGGGATATCCCAGTTTTGGTATGCGCCACCCTCTGACGCAGGGTGATTTCTGAAGCCTGGTCCTTCCCACGGCGGCCTGCCTGAGTAGGATGGACCCAGCGACTGCGGCCTTCTCCTCGAAGATAATATAGGATTCAACTCTTCGAGTCCTGATGCCTCTGACCCAGCTAGGCTTCGAAGTGCGGAAGAATCCGAGGCGGTGCTTCCCAGGGACGAAAAGAACTCTGTTGACCCTGATGACGAGGCGACCCTGCCGGCTGTCTGACCTAGCACTTCGGCATCTGCTGCTACCAATCCTCCGCTCATCATCACCGCCTCCGCGACCTCGGCGCCTACCGCAGCGACTTCTCCACTTACCATCGTTGCCGCTCTGGCCGCAGAACCTGCTGCACCCATCGCGCTGGAGATGTTTCAAGTAAGTCGACCCGTCTCCAATGAGTGTACCTAAATGATGGAAGAACGTACTAAAAAAGGAAGACATGTTCAAGCAAATGGGACAGTGTGGATTTATAAAGAGCATGCTATTCAGTCATTAGGAATTGGGCACGAGGGCTATCGACGTCCTCTTCGAAGAACCAAGAACGTGAGGAAGCGCGATGTGGTTGAGATACCCAATCCAGAGCTGAACCTATGGTTCCCTTTCAAACCTAAACCGCTAACTCTCATTTTACGTTTGGTCCACGGTGCAAATCTTGGGATGTGGAGACTACCTAAAGTTAAATCATGATAGACCGTGGGGCATTTCAGGCGATATACCCATTTCCTCCGGGTTCTCAACTTAGCTAGAGACGGTTGACATTGTTTGAGAGCGAACCAAAGGTACGATGAACTTTTCCACTCGGGGACCGCTTCCGCTTAAATCTTCATGCGCTGACACAAGGCTGGGCTGATATGCTCAGACAAAACAAACATCCTGCAATAGAATCCATGAGTAATCCTGCTCCACCAACGACAAATAGCCCTTTGCATCAGGAGAGACGTCGAATCTGAGCGGACTGGGACAGAATGAGTTCTCCGCGTAGGGCAAAAGTGGGCTTTTACTGATATTGTTGCTCCAAAGTTTCTGCATCGCTTTTAGTTTTTTTCTGAAACGATGAAAGCGCACGGAGTACGCCTCTGCAAGTGAAACGTCTTGACGCTTTACGACGCGATCAGATACTGGATTAGATCTCAAGTAGTGGTGCTTCATGGTGAAGTCCACCCCCTACTTTGTACCCGCCTCTCAATAGGAGCGACATTCCAACGCCCCAGAATCAGAGCATAATTGTATGGCGTACATAACTCTCTATTTCAACTCAGAGCAAGGAGACCATCTCCTAGAACATCGGTTGCCTTGGAGTTCTATTCACCCTACCCGCTGACCTCTCCTCCATTCCTCAGAACCCAGACTCCATTCGGTCTTTCGGCGTCAAATTAGACATCGCGGTCTACAACTTGGAGGGTTCCGGCGGCTGACGCAAGAAGACCTTGTCGTGGAGACATGTCACACACACCTTGCCGTCTTGGATAATCTCTCCCTTCATGTTGACGAGGGTTCTACCACCCGCCACCAGCTCGCAGACCACCCTCACCGTCGCGCCCTCCACGACCGGTCGGAGATAGGTCATGTTGATGTTCCGACTGACGTGTCCGACGTCCATGAATCCCGGCCTGGCACTTGCGACCAGCGTCGTCGTGGTCAGGTTGTCCAGAATCGTGCAGGCGGCGCCTCCGTGAAGCTTTCCGCCCTTGTTGCAGAGATGAGGGAGGATTTCGAGCTCCCATTCTGTCCGAGTCGGGGAGACGGAAATGCACCGGACGTTGTTCCTCAGCGCGTACGCGTCGAAGCCGTCGAAGTTCGGGTCCTCCAGGAAATTCTTCTGGTACTCAATCACCCGCTCTCTCAGGGGCAGCGAGAAGTCAATCCCCTTCATCACATATCGGGGATCCATGGACTTGTCGGCGCGTGTTGGATCATAGTAGGCAGAGGAACTGCACAGGGTTGGTTAACAGGTGGCCGGGCAATCTTGTGGCGGGACAAGACCGTATACCTACACCTGTTGGGTGGTTGCTCTGCTGGCCGTCATCTCTTGTTCGTGGTTCAGTCTTTGTTCGCTGGTAAAAGACACTTCGATGATTCAGTCGAGGGTAAAACACGATGTCGTTGTTGAGTATACGAGCAGACCTAGGATTTTAGTCAAGGCCCAATAGCAACTTGGCAACTGCCCATCAGGTGTGAATTGGAGCGCTTATTAGCTACTGAGCTCAGCTCGAAGATAAAAAATGGCCCCGAGCGATAGTTATCGGAGTAATTTCATCCAGCAACATTCGGCTAGCTACCCCTACCTAGTTAGGTGGTGGAGGCCCACCGCAAAAAGGGCCATTAAGGGAGTCAGGACCAAGCGTTGTTTAGTTGTAGGTGACCGAGTCAATTGCTCGTGTCAATTTTTCTTTCCTCGGTGACTCCCTCATTCACTACTCAACTCTCCCTTCCAAGCCAGATCCATCGATCAATACTCCTCCGCAGTCCGGACTCCGCAATATCGATCTATCTATCTGCTCCCTTGTGGGGGAAAGGCCTTTATGAAGATTGCAAACGGTGGTTGGCTTGCCCCAGATGGACTCTACTGGAAAGGTTTATGGTGTGCATTTTCTTTCTTTGCCTTTTTCTTCTCAAATCGACAATGCCTATACAACACAGTCGCTAGTTACTATGTAGCCAAAACAAATTGGTGTATTGTTTGGAGTTGCAGACCGTGAAGCTAGTGAGGAGTCTATGATGGAGAGATTGTGCAATGCCCCGCCCTCCTGATCTATGGTATGTGCTTCGTTCGGGCATTTGAGCTCAGTTGGGCCCCAAGAAATAACTTGGAGGTACTCTCAGGTATATAGTTGTATGGCCTTTGGTATTCTATCTTACGCAATGTGGCAACTCTGTTAACACTCACCAGAAGCCCGTTCACGTCGACGGCTGCCCGTGGGCAGTGGCATTGCTTACCGATTTTGCCGAGGGCCGGCCTCATAGCCCACGACAGCCTTGCCTCGGCTTTGGCACAAAACTGTCTCCCCGCCATTTCTATGGGCGACCAGGACGCCACCGAGGATATGAACATCTTGGGGGACAGGCGAGACTTCTCCTTGCAATATGTCATATACACGACGAGACCGCCAATGCCACGCCTGGCGAGTACGGCCAGGAGGCTCTGTGGTCTAGCTTGCATGCTGTCGTCAACTAATGCAAGAAAGCACGCCCGTATGAATCGTTCCGGGATGTCTCCGGACAGCGACCTGAGCGATTTCGAAAGCGACTTGGTAACATATCGATTTCGCTTAATGTGACTGGTAAGAGTCTAGCGTCCCCAAAGTTAGGTGACGTCAGTTTCCAAGCAACATCCTTCATATGAAATGCGTCTATTCTCGCTGTTTTAGACCTCGGCCCCGCCCTGTTTATATAGAAAGCCTTGGTGTTGACATCTCTCAGGCTTCGTATAGGTTGTCTGTTTCCACATCGCCATGACCCTGCGTCTCAAGAAGGAGACCTTACCGCTATGACTCAACGCATTTAGCAGTTCGTCTACGAACTTGTTCACCCCTTCCAAGTTCTGGTGGCGCTCATGACGGCGGAAGGTAGTAGACTGGTTCTGGAGACTCCTCGGGCAGACGATCGCGGTGAGCTCGATCGGGCCTCGTTCTGAGAGGTAGTTGATATGAGACAAGCCGCAATGAGGTCAGGTATGGGGAAGATTGAATTATGTTTAGGGATTTGTACAAAGTGTGACTAGCAGAATCGAACGTCAGTGGAATTTGGTGGTCGTTTGGTGGTATCAAGTCGCTTTCGCAGTCTCCACGTCGGCTGTCCGGAGACATCCGGTACCTTCCTATCTGGTGACACCTGGTGGGCCGCCTCAAACCTGTACCCCGAACCACCACGGCTCCATCGAACCCTCCACCTGCTCCACAGTAATCTTGCAACCGTGGGTTCGGAGCCTCGCAGCCCCCATAGAAAGCATGGAAGCTCCCGCAGAGGCTCCACGGCACAGCGCACTAATCAACTCGCCACTACCAGTACGACATCCTTATCTTTGCCAATTCGCTGGTGCAAGCAATTCTGGAAACAGTTCCGCAGGCCCGTGACATTGTGGAGAGCGTCGGCAGCGAATCCCGCAGGCTTTAGGCATCCGCGAGGCGAATCGATTTGAATTGAACTGAACCGACGTCTCTCTGTGTCCGTCTGTTCAACTTCTCGCGCCCATGCTAACAAGTACATATTTGCGTGCTAGCGGTGGTCATTGTCACGAGAACATGCACTTGGATCTGCGATGAACAGCCTCATTATGTCATCGTGGCAGTGGGAAGATCTGGAGAAGCTCGATCACGATGGCAGCGCCACATTGGTTAGCGCAAGCGACTGCCTCTATTGATTGTCCGCCCCGAAATGCCCTAAACATCTGGCAAAGCCTAGTCAGGCCCCGCGCAATGAACACGCACCAGCACGATGTCACCTTGCTGTAGCAATCACCAATGCGTTTTGTGATCGAACCCGGGATCTGTGCCGCCCGATCCACTCTCCAATCGACAGTGGACGCCTGGCCAAGCTCCAGGCTGCCTATGGTGCTTAGGGTGCTTGTAGTGCATGCGAAGCTTGGTGGTTTAAAACCGGGGTCACCGCGGTCTTCATCTCCCACCTCTCTTTTTCCCCTCTCTCGTCTGTCGTCAAGATGAGTCTCAAGAACGAAACCAATGCGCGCGCTGAGAAGGATGGCATCGATATTCCGGCCTATGAGCCGGGCACGCTTTCTGCGCATGCACGCGGTCGGCAGTTCAGCATCGACCCAGAGGATCGTGCTATGGTGGAAACTGACGTGAACATGCTTCATCGCGATCTGAAGGGCAGACACATGCAAATGATTGCCATGTAAGTTGAATTACCGAATCCTCAAATGCATACTAATTGACACTCTTAGTGGTGGCGCAATTGGTGCCGGTCTATTCATTGGCTCTGGTGGTGCTTTTCAGACTGGTGGACCTGCTTCTGTGCTTCTTGGTTTCATGATTATTGGTCAGTTATGCTCTGCAAGAACTGCGATGCAATACAGCTAATGCCTTTTTAGGTGTCATGGTGTATGTTTCTTGGATATTGGAAGACTTCGTCCTCAGCTAACATATCGTTGAGCTACCTCATGATGCAGGCCCTCGCCGAACTGTCCGTCATGTATCCGATCAATGGAGCCTTCACGATGTACATCTGTCGCTTCGTTGATCCCTCCTTAGGGTTTGCTTGCGGCTGGGAGTACGCCATCAGTTGGCTGACCGTCCTTCCCTTTGAGATTTCAGCTGCCTGCAATATTATCCACTACTGGCCAGGATCGGAGGGTATCAACAACAGTGCTTGGATCGTCCCGCTGCTTGTTGCTTTAGTTGCTATTCAAGTTTTTGGTGTGAGGGGGTATGGCGAGGCAAGTTCACCGAAAGCCTTCTGGAGAATGAGCTAATTGAACAGGTCGAATTCGTCCTCAGCATAATGAAGATCATCGCCTGCATAGGCTTCATGATCCTTGGGATCATAATCAACTGCGGCGGCGTTCCAACAGACAACCGAGGCTATATTGGTGCAAGATACTGGTAATTTCATACGAGGAGTGCCTACCGGTGAGGCTGATGGTTCGGAACAGGCACTCACCTTACTCCGCATTCCTCAATGGTTTCCACGGCTTCTGCAGCGTCTTCGTCACTGCGGCATTCGCTTATACTGGCACAGAGCTGACCGGACTCGCGGCGGCGGAAACGACCAACCCAAGAAAGGAGATTCCGAGGGCCTCGAAACAGGTCGTATGGCGTATCGCTATCTTCTACGTTGTCAATCTTTTCCTCGTTGGTTTGATCGTACCGGAGAATAGCCCCTTATATAGTGGCGAAGGCTCCACATCGCGTCACTCACCTTTTGTCATCGCAATTCAGCTTGCTGGCATTAAGGTCCTCCCATCGATTTTCAATGCTGTCATCTTGATCGCTGTCATGAGCGTTGCAAACTCGTGCACTTTTGGGTCGACTCGAACAATTCAAGCTCTCGCTGCAAATGGTGCGTACGTCTTGCCATAATTCTATACGACGCTGACTTTGTACATAGGCATGGGTCCTAAGATACTGGCCTACGTTGACAGAAAGGGCCGTCCTATGTCTGTGGTCATTCTCCAGCTTCTTTTCGGTTGCTTAGCATTTATCAACTTGGCAAAGGATGGCGGAACGATCTTCAACTGGCTCCTGTCATTGTCTGGACTTTCTATCCTCTTCATCTACGGCAGCATCGCTCTAGCTCATATTCGCTTCCGCGCGGCCTGGTAAGCAACTGAACGCACTTTCCGCAACACTCGTCGGTGACTGACCACTTACAGGGCTGCCCAAGGCCATTCCTTGGACGAGCTTCCCTTCAGGGCTGCTTTCGGCGTCTGGGGCTCGTGGGTGTGCTTGCTCATCAACATTATCAGCCTTATGGCTCAGTTCTACGTCGCATTGTATCCAATCGGCGGGCCTTACCTGGATGCCAACACTTTTTTCCAACTCTACCTCGCTGGTCCTCTCCTCATCTTCCTATACCTCTGTTGGAAGGTCTACAGCTGGTTTGTCCGGCCAGCTGACCGCCCATTGTTTATCAGAGCGAAGGATATTGATATCTACACGGGAATGAGAGAGGGTCAGCGACGCATGGTCAGTGGCCCAGGTGTCTCAGAGGAGCAGAGGCGCGCTAGCATCCTTGAGATGCAGGAAGAAAAGAAGAAGAGAGGTCCTAAGGATTATATCATGGCTGGCATTAGAAACCTCATCTAAACCGTCAAGTGTCAGGATCGATCTTGATGTACGAGACAGCAATGTGTATTCGCTACGAATGGGTACCAGCGATGGAGGGTGGAGGTAGGGTCGACATGCAGTTGTGTTGGAGTAGTCAGAGGCACGATGAGCCAAGAAATGAACAATTCAGACTGTACACCACTCCTTGCATCGCTACTCGGTCGTTTGTCGAGCTGGTATTAGACTTTGAAATCAAAACATAGCTAGCTATCTTCAGCAGTCAAATACCGACATTATTGCACAGTTTTCTACGAGCAGCTGCCCTGACATGCTCAGTTGCGCTATAGTCGATTCTGAAACGGGCACGGGTGGTGGTGAGCCCAAGGAGAGCGTCGCGCAGATTTTCCACTACCTGAGCCGCCAAAATTTTTGGATTTTCGCTCGCGACTGTACGTCCTCCTTTCCTTCTGGGGACTCTTGAGCGAATTCAAGTCCGCCTTGAACAGTTTCTCTGGTAATGGGCTTCAAAAGCTGCCGGGTTAGCCTAGTAGCCACAGTTCCTTGTCGGCAAAGAAAAATGCTGAAAGCGACGAAAGGCACCTTTAGTGGTCCATTGGGTCTGGAAGTAGTGCTTATTGTATTCAATCTGCGTTTGGGAAAGTGACTAGATGGTCTGCTTTAGGGAGACTCAAACCTCATTGTATGTCGAACCATGACTGCGGAAATGTAGACCGATCAAGGTTTCACGAAAAGACATGGAGAGACCTATATCCGTCAAGCGGATCTTCCCTTCTTTCCAAACCAGGTATCTACGAATAGATGCAGCCTCATTCCCTGATCATAAGAAAACTTAGCGTATAGTTGTTTAGGTCCAACCCGCCTTTTGCTCAGGCTCAGTACTTGCTGCTCGGTGTGAAAATGTCCTCTTTGCTCGGTGTTTCAGCGCGCATCTTGAAAATAGAGTGGATCCACTGACCTAGCATTTTCTTCTCTTCGCAGTTCAAACTCAATCGTTTATCATTCCCCATGATGTCCTTTAAATGGCGTTTATAACCGCTTTCGACTTCACGGAATTTTCCTCCGTTGATGAAAATCGTATTGCCATTGTAATCCTCGTTCGCACAGAGGAAGACGGCTGCCAGAGCACAGTCGTCGCTGGTATTCATGGGTATACCGCTCTGCCAGAGCTTTGGTACGAGATCAGGAAGCGTCCGCAGGGCCGGCGTATCTGTGATCCCAGGCGCAATGCTGTTGATTCGAATATTCCAGGTCTTGGTCAGTGGCCGCAGAGCCCTCATCAGGCCGACCATGCCGTGCTTTGCAGCCCCGTAGACGGGAATACTCTCTGCTACATAGCCTGCCCTCGAGACCGTCGACACGATCACACCGCCTTGGGGCACCTGCCGCCGCATGTAGTGCATAGCTAATTTCACAGTGTACATCTGCCCGATCAAGGTGACGCTCAAGCAGTCGAATTTGGGCTTGACGGGGTCTCCGCTCTCGTCCACCTTGTCGAAGAAATCGCCCTTGTCCCCTATTCCCGCGTTCGGAATGACGATATCGATCCGGCTCCATTCCTTCACTGCTCGCTTGAAGAGGCTGAGGAGGTCCTCCCAGCGACTCGTATCTGTCTGCATGTATAACACGCCCTCTACCGCCTCTCTTAGGGGCTGGACATCCCCTACCAGGACTCTCACGCCGGACGCAGCGAGCTTCTGGACGATGCTTAGCCCGATGCCTGAAGACCCCCCCGTGACAATGGCGGTCTTCCCTCGAAGCTTGTCACCTTTGATATTTATTAGCCGAGAGAGGACCTGGTTGGCGATGGCTTCTTATCTCTTGACATTGTAGCCGCGAACAGGGAATGGCTTACCTATATCGGTGTCCGTGATGTTCAGATCAGTCATCGTTGCCCGCTTACAGTTACGTGATGCTTCGTTTCAGGAAACCCAAGAGTCCTCGACTTTGATCCAAGGACCGAGCTAATATGGTTCTTTCTTTGGCGTTCCCCGCTTGTTAGGACATTTTTGAAGCCCCTGATCCCCAGAAGTCGACCTCGGGCCGAATGAAGTATTTTCTTTTGCCTGGATTTCGTGTGCAGGCAGTCCAAGGTAACTCTATCCTCGCTCTGTCGGCCCAGTGAAATGTGAAATACAGGACACCAATGCTCGGTACGTCAGCCACAAGTTCCATTATTAAGCGTGCTTCTCGCTCTAGTTCAAGAAACGTCCTAAATGACCATATATCCACACTTGTTACTGCAATTGAAATGACGACGCGCTTGAAGGGGAGCCGGTTCGGTTATGCTTTGATTATCGCACCCAGTAAAACATCTTCGTCTCGCCCGGGTGCCCTGTTAGCCAATTCATAAATGTCGTTATTTTTACAATGCTCTATGCCCAGGTGTAACCGTTGAGATCAAAATCTAGCAATGCGTGCCCAGCGAGATTGAAATCTTCCTCCAGATTCCACTCGTACGACATTGGGGCAGGATAGCCGTTGGATGCATTGCTATCCTCGGCCCCGGCATTGCTGACTTCCAAGGTGCTACCAGACAGCGATTGATGATCTATTTCACTTCTTTCCTCCAAGTTCGCGCGTGTCAGTGTCGTGGTTGACGGTTGAGCGTAACCAGAACTCAAGGCCGTCACTGACCGAGATGTCCGACCTTGAAAACCTGTTCTGGCATCCTGCATTTTTGCTACAACCTCCTTCATGCTCGGAGCCATATCAGCAAGCAATTTCGAAACTTTGATACACACATCCACCTTTTGCAGGCACGTTTTGCGCATGTTTGGGTCTGCCGAGTTTGCGTCTCGAAAGAAGGTCGAAGCAGCCAGGCAGATATTGATAAGGGAAGATGGAGGCAAAAATTTAGCCAATCCACAGTTGAGTAGCCCTTCCAGTATTTCAGCCGTTTCGTTGGCTGCCTGACGCAGGAAGCACCGACTGTAGTCGGTCGGTGGACAGCGGTCGGTGACTGAGTCCGGGCTGACATGCTCGGATATATCGTCCATGAGCATACCGTCCCTGTGGACGAGGAAATGTGCAGCGCAGTAAATCATCTCAAGCACAGATATAGCCCACGTCACACCGCGCTGACTCCCTCCTATGCCGTCTCCGAGCAGATTTTTGCTGTTTAGCTCGACGGGAATCTCTGACCGCCAGCGGTAAAGTTCTTGGACCATATATTCTCTGAGAAATGGTAGTGGGTTGGCGCGTGGCTGGCAATCCCAGGGCGAAAGATCCTCGTGGATATTGCGCATGATGCGATAAATGTGCCAGCAAAGTTTGGCCTTCAAAATGCAGATTGTCGCAAGTGCTGGGGGAAGTGGATCAAAGGCTTGTTGAATTTGGGGAGCCATGCTATCGATGCTAGGAGCTCCATTTTCTTCCAAACCAAGATCGGTCATGTTCAGCATTGGTGTGCCAAACGGCCACACACGCGGTGGTTGACCTATGGACATGCAAAGGTCGCATTCTTTCATCAAAATACTCCACCACAATATCCGGCGAAGATTCCGCTTCCGCTGCTGCTTGGCTGGATTCATCAAGCTGGCAGGCTCTGACCGGTGCAACTTTAGGACATGTGCTTGAGCAATGGCAGTGCCGAGCCAGTAAGTGGCGTCTTTCAAGTTGCTTCGGCTGGCCCATCCTATGAGAAAGAGCGATGCTTGACAGATGACGATGCGATCTTTCTCGGTCTCCAATTCAAAGAGAGTCTGGTTCATCAAGTCAGGTTCCGCATTTCCTAAAGCATGACTGCCATTCTCACCTTCGCCTTTTCGTAAAACGTTTGTCTGGCCGTGGTCTTACTCATGTAAGCCTGTCGGAGGACGATGTCACTTTCAACAGCTCCCACCCCGGCAAACATGACTGCGTGAAAGAGAAGCAAAGACACCCTTTGCCCTGGCTTCTCACCAAATATTACACTTCGGAATGTTGGGAGATCCAGGATCGGTAGGAGTGGATGCACAAACTCGGTAAATCGGTCCATTATCACGCGTTGAAGTTGCTGGGGCGGCAAGGCAAAAACCGCCCTCTGCCTCAAGAATTCTAGGTCGCCAGGACCGCGCAGAGGGAATGCTTCAATAAAATCCGGTAAGGCTCCCGAGTCACTCTGGGGAAGAGGCGGTGGTGTAGATGGCGCTGAAAGCAGACCATCATTTCTGTCGAGGGAGCTTTCATCTTGCGGAGCGATATCATTTGGCAACGGAAGCTCTGGCTGCTCCGATAAGGACAGTATAAAGCCGTGTGACTCGGAGGTCCTAGGTACAAGCTCACCGCGAGTCGCTTTAGATTGCCGCAAATCCCTGAGGCTAGCGTCTGGGCGATTGCTATCGCGATCTTCCCATTCATCCGGTGAACGTCTTGTTTCTCCAGGTGTGTCAGGAGGCTGCTCAACCATGAATGCCCCTTCTCCGGCTATCACTGTCTTCCGAGTGTTTGCGTTTCGATTTGCATCAGAGTTATCTGAAATTTGCAGCGCATAGTGCTCTGTAGTTTTATGGCCGCGACGCCTGCACTTCATGACTCTGCATTCAGCACCGTCGAGCAAACAATTTGTGCAATAGCCCGCTTTATGTGTTACATCACATCTGACCTTGCGCGAGCGACAGCGCAGACATGCCTGGGTAGCTCGACGATGAGTGACTCCTTTCTTCGTGCGAGATTGCGCTCCGGACACCTCCATGACTTTGCTTTGTGACACGACTCTCAGCCGATCTGAAACCGACAAAGGCGACGAGGTTGATGGTGGCGATTCCGCTGGATGCATGGTTGGCAGTTCGGTGTTCGAGGTCACTATCTCAGGGAATTTTGAATTTTTCGTCTTTTCATGTGAAAAAGGAGTGTTGCAGTCGATAGTTAGAGTTATCCTCGGGCCAAGATCAATCTTGCAGCATCATGAGAATGCGGGGATTGTCGGCTACAAAACAAGTTCCACTGGAAATTGGAGACCTACATTCCTGTTTAGGCTAGCGTCTCTCTGCACAGTGTCTAGTGGAGCAAGGCTCTCCTACTCCTAGCCAATCAACGTGAACTCGCTCGTAGCCACGTAAAAGCAAGGCTGCATATAACACAACGCCAAAGATCCACCAAGGGGCTGGGGCGGTCTATTTAAACACGGTCTGACACTGTTCTGTACGAGGAGCTGAGACTAGTGAAATGAATCATTGAAGGTAGGTGCTGATTTTGCAGAAATCCCTTAAGGTTCACGCGCGGATAACCCGGTTTATTTGGTGAGCAAAAGGAAGATCATACTTTGGGTGAAGACGATATTATTGTAGTCGAGAATATTCTGATAGCAGCACACCAGTTGGGCAGCAACCATGGTAGCTTGACCCTCGCTTAATGCACGGCTATGGGTGACTGTTGACAAAAAGCATAAGTACTCTGCCATAACCGTCCATCCATCTTGCCCAACTTACCGTTGTGACTTCCACTAGCAGCTACCAACGGTGTTCATACAAAAACCCAAGTTTCTCTATATGATTGATTGGCAAATATCTTCTTTTTCAAGGAGTTCCAGCATTTGCGCCCTGTGATTTGTTTCGTGTACTTGCTGGCCGAGAATGTCTGTCTTCTATCCACACCGCAAGAGCGACTAAAATGCCGATAGTTGGTGGGATATCGTGCTCCCACGTGGGAACAAAGGAGTGGGTGTATTTCCTCACGATCCGGAGCACACTTTCGAGCCCTTTTCAACTTCGAAGGGCTGGAGAGCGCACGGGTGCAATGGAGCGTCCGAGGGCAAATTTCCTGAGGCCATTCCTTAATACAAATTGCGAGAACGAGCCCAAGTGCCGCACCAGCGGCGAAAGGTTGTCCTGCGCCAGCCATTCATTCCATTCAGGTGTTTCAACTCTGAGATATGCGATGGCGAATAGATCAAAGTTGTTAGCATTGGGTTGGACTAAAAGAGGGCATTGCTGAGGGCGACCGCGGCTCGTCGGCTCGCCCTCGGCTATCTGGAGCGCAAAGAGACGGCGCCCAAAATATCAGAACCTTGGCGAGCAATGGATGCTCTTCCTGTCTCATTGAACAGGTCTTCGGCATGTTCTGTCGTCCTCGTGAGTGTGTTGGTGAGCGTGATTCGCCTACCCCACCTTCGATCCGGTTAACTCATTTCCCGCAGACCCTCGGTTTCTGAGTTGTCCATCAATGCGATCAGACGAAAGCATATTCTGCGCATGCTCTCCAGTTTGATAACATTGCGAAGGCAACAGTGCAAATGGCTGAAAGGAGACCCAAAGTTATCCCCCCTTTTCGGGTACTCTGATTTTCTTTCAGGTCGTGGTCACTCAACACAATGAGTTCCGTCAATGGTGATACGCGTAGCGGGGCTCCTGTGTGTCTTGTCACAGGAGGTGCATCTGGCATGGGACTTGCCGTGGCTGAGCATCTTCTGAAACTCGGCTGGAATGTAGCTATCGTCGACTACAACGAAGAAACCGGGCAAGCCGTCGCAAAATCGTGCGGCCCCCAGGCTATTTTCATCAAGGCAAACGTGGCAGACTATGAAGAGATTGCCGCTGCATTTGCTCGAACTTGGAAAGAGTGGAAACGCCTTGATGCGGTCTATGGTAATGCTGTATGATATAGCTCTCCACCCATGGGTTGATGTGCATCTATGAAACTAATCACCTGCCTGTAGGGTATTGGCGATCGGATCAGCTTCTACGCTCAGCAGGAAGATCGAGAGGACGGCACCCCCCCAAAGCCCAACACTTCTGTGATTGATATTGATCTCTACGGACCAATCTACTGTGCTTGGCTAGCATTTCACTACTTCCGCAAGAATCCAGACAAAGCCGGCAAACTCATCTTCACATCCAGCATGGCTGGAATCTACACCGGAAGCACAGTTCCGTTGTATTCGGCCGCAAAGTCCGGGGTAGCTGCGTGTCTCATCCTAAAAGGGAATTGCGACTGACTCTTGCAGGTCGTCGGACTGACGAGGTCTTTAGGTCAACGGCTTAAAGAAATCGGAGAGCCTATCACTGTGAACTGCATATGTCCAGGTAATTTGCATGCATCCCCCAGAACACCACAGTTACTCATTCTGCTAGGTCTTGTCCACACGGCCTTGACGAAGATCTACTCCTTCACATGCCCAGAGGAATATGTCACCCCTGCCTCCACCATTGTCAAGGCTTTCATGAGTTTTATTGACGATAGTAGTTTGACCGGGCAGGCGGCGGAATGCAGCGGCGAAAACATTCATTACAGGCAGAGACCAGAGTTCAGTGATGACAAGGCAGCTTTCATCTGCGGCGGTGGACTGGGCGAAGCTATGGCTAAGCTGAATGTTAAACTCTACTGATGTTGATCTAAGTGGAACACATGGGTTCTGCGACGCAGCCAACGTTCGAAAATGATATCAATCGTAGAAGATATAAATTCCTCATAATCAGATTGCCGCTATTCGATCATTCCCTGTAGAAATCGCCATTATGTAAAGGCAGAGAGCTATGAGGCAAAAGCCTCGCGAATGGATGTATCCATGACGGGTCCACATTTTAAGTTCCAAATCCATGTAGCATTGATGCAGCTGCTAGTCACTTTCAGAATATTATCGACACATACTATTAAATCAATACTCATTCGCCCAGCTAGTGCGGTCTAGGATCTGTCAGATTCCGGATAAAATGTTGCTGTGAGACCCTCGAGCTTGCCAGCTTCTCGCCACTCCCTCAGCATGTTAATGACCCACAGTGGACTGCCTCCGTACCACTGATTCTTCGCCAGCTTCCGGGTGATCTGGCCTTCGTTGTTGTAATATCCTGGCGTGCATTCCATGTGGAAGGCTCTTGAGTTCACGCCCGACTCGATGATCGTCTCGACCCACTTGTCCTCGGCCTCCTGGGTCGGCTCGATCGACCGGATATTTCTCTTCCGGCATTCTGCAACGACATACGCGAGATGCTCTGCTTGAATGGCGGTAGTGTGTAGAAAGTTCGCAGTCACGAAAGCCTGAAGCGTCGTGATCATGAAGAAGTTGGGGAAGTCTTTGCTGACCCAGCCTTGAAAGGTACTGGGCCCGTCCGAGAATTTCTCTCCCAGCATTTTCCTGTCACGACCATAGACCTCCATTCCAGCACGGTGGCTCCAGCTGGTGGCACGCTCAAATCCTGTGGCATAGATCAGGCAGTCAATCTCAAACTCCTCCCCATTGGCGACCACACCTCTCTCGGTCAGGCGCTCTATGCCCTGGCCTTTGGTATCGACAAGTTGCACATTGGGACGATTGAAGGACTCAAGATATTCGTCATGGAAGCAAGGTCGCTTACAAAACTGATTGTAGTACGGCTTCAAGCTCTCGGCTGTCGCAGGGTCCTTGACTATCGCGTTGACGCGTTTGCGGATCTGTTCCATCTTCTGGAAGTCAAGGATCTGTCTTCGTTTCGCCATCTCCTCTTTGCCCATCGTCCCAGTTGCTTCTCGGGATGGATATAGGTTGCGAATTATGTCTGTCCATCCGTCATTGACCAAGTCCACATCTTGGTGCCCGCCGCAAACAATCGTGTTGAAATTGTCCATTCGCTCTTTCTGCCATTTGCCTCTAAGGGATTTCGCCCATTCTGGATCGGTAGGTCTGTTGTTTCGTACATCGATGGAAGAGGGCGTCCGCTGAAATACGTAGAGTTTCTTGCACCAAGGAGCAATATTTGGCACAATCTGCACGGCGGTAGCCCCTGTGCCAACAATCGCAACTCGCTTATCGGTAAGGTTGACTAGGCCTCCTCCGGTGGCGTCGCCACCTGTGTACTTATAATCCCAGCGGCTGGAGTGGAAACTGTGACCTTTGAACGTCTCGATTCCGGGAAAGCCAGGAAGTTTCGGTCGATGTAGCGATCCGGCAACGCCTACAACGAAACGTGCCTCGATCTTGTCGTTGTGATTCGTTTTGATTGAGTAAGTAGCACTCTCTTCTTGCCAGTGGATGCTTAGAATCTCGGTTTTGAAGATAGCCTTTTCGTAAAGTCCGAGTTCTCTTGCAAGTTTCTGAGCGTGTCCTAACAATTCGGGCCCTCGTGCATATTTTTCTTTTGGAATATATCCAACGTGGTCCAACATGGGCATGTATACGTAGGACTCAATATCACATTGTACTCCTGGATATCGGTTCCAATACCTAGAAAACCATTAGAGCCGGAACTTGTCATGAGACAGTAAGTATGCCTACCATACTCCCCCGAAGTCTGCGCCTTTCTCAATGATCTTGAAATCTTCAATTCCGTTCTCCTTAAGATGGTGCGCCATTAGTTCCCCTCCATATCCAGCGCCAATAATCACCACTTCAGTAGTGATGTCTAGCGGTTCACGTGCGTCATTTTGACCCGCCCATGGATCATCGAGGTAATGAGACAGAGAGCCTTCAATTGCACGATACTGCTCTACTCCATTAGGATTGGCGCGGATACGTTTTTCCCGCTCAGCAAGATATTTGGCCTTGAGAGCGTCCGGATCAAATCCCAAATCGTCTTTAACTTCCTTCCCCGTGAGGTTGCTGGACTTGGTAAGAATAGGCTCAGCCACAGGAGCAACAGAAAGCATTTCGACAGCCATTATGCTCTAACGAGAGATGAATGAAGATTCCACGTATGTGGATGAGACTGATGCACAAAGCGAGATATACCAAGACTTCCAAGTATCGTACGTTCGGAATTGTCAGGAGAAGAGCAGGACGAGAATGTTAGCCGTGTACACCCTCGGTCTTAACGAAACAAGCAGGTGCATAAGCTGTAGATAGCCGTATCACCGGCAGCTTTCCCT